TTTTAATGTCAAGGAGACAACTTAGTTAAAAATTGAATTCTTGTTACGTTAGAGTTTGATTGTTTTTACAAAAACTGTTTAGTTTTAACATAGATATTTCTAAAGAACTACATACTATAAGTATTTCAGAACAATTGTACTATATTCATTATGTTTTAAGTGTTGGTTTTAATTTTTTAATAGATAGCTTCAAAAATTTGTAGTTTCTGCTTATTACATACTTGAAGTATACAGGTATTGTTGACTAATATTCTTCTAAATTGTGAATGTGGACAGAAATGTTTTTGCAGATGTTGTGCAATGGATGATGAATGATTCATGTGTAGAGTGAGATGTCTTGATAACATTATTGTAGAATAACCAACATATACATTAGCTTTTTTGTCAGAGATGCAATCTCCCAAGGGATGTTTAAATTAGTATATTGGTTTTCTGCAATACATTAATTGGTGGGGAGGAGTTATTATGGATGATTAAGTTAGTTGTATTAAATTTAGTATAGTACATAATTAATTTTATTTTTTTACTGGGATTTGTAGGGGATGTATTAGTATTTGAGTTTTTTAGGATTTCTTTGTCTTGTTTATATTTAGAATGCATCTGATTACGATATAAAAGATTGATTTAGGGTTATTATAAAGATTGATAAGTTTAGGGTTATTTGAGGAAGTGTTACGTTCTATTTCATTTATATTAAAATTTGTAATAGACCGCCTCATTTGTTCATCAACAATGTAGTCATTATTAATTAGAATTTTTTTTAATGTTTTTTAATCTCGGTGTGGAAAATCTTTTTTATGGATGAGTTATCTTTAGTACAGTTTATTAAATTTTGTATAATTGCTATTTTGTAGTAGTTAGGACATTCACTTTTATAATTAAGATTGCATGAGTTTTGTTAGTAGGTTTTTTATATGGAGAATAATGAATGTATTATTGGTGTCTATCAATATATCAAGAAAAGGAATTTTATTATTAAGTTCATATGTGAATTTAAGGACGGCATTTTTGGAATTCTTGTTGTAATTCATGTATTTCATCAATGTTTTTTACTAAAATGAGGATATCGTCAACATATCTTAGGGAGATAGCAGGTAAAACAAACATCTTTGTCGTTTTAAACAAATCTGATTATAACAGGAAGAACAAATACTTAGTGACCATACCAAATTTAAAAAGGTTAACAGGAATCCTGTTAACCATTTGAAATTAAAAATCAGGAAACTCATTACAGCCATTGATGCAGAAACGGACAATTTAAAACTTTCCAAAATAATTGGTGATTATGAACCAGGTCACATTTATGGAATCCTAGAAACACACAAACCAAACTTTCCTCTCCGTCCTTTTATATCCCAAATCTCCACTCCTAAACAAAATCACTATCCTGGATATGTCGATAAACTACATCTGCTTCCTGGGTATGACGATAAACTACATCCAACAGCAAGGCTTCTAATCAGGAGGTTTTGAGGAGCATGGAACCACCTCTTAATTGCTGGTGTTCCCAGGTCCACCCTGACCCGGGGTGGTAGCACCTGTTAGGGTCCCAGCTATGGGCAAATGGTTAACACCCAAACTTGTGTAAAAATAGGTTCTAATACCAGAAATACTTTGTAATAAAAAAAAAAAATTATTACCAGCAATAATTTTTAAAGGAGAATTTATTATCAGCAATACTTAAAACCAAAAAAAAAAAACCAGCAATACAAACAGCTATACATTCTTTGAAAAAAAATATGACCAGCTATAGATTTCTTCAAGGAAAAATATTACCAGAAATAGATTTTTGAAGAAAAACATATTACCAGCAATAACAATTTTGTCAGCATTAAATTGAGGTTGATATGCTGTAAAACAAACCAAACCAAACCAAACCTAAACAAAATCATTAACCAACTTCTTATACGGTATGTCCCCAGTAAATACAGCATGAAATCATCTCTTGAATTAATCCAAATCCTAAAGACACAAAACCCTGATAATGAAACCATAGCCTCACATTCACCAATGTCTCAGTTAAAGAAATGATTGAGATAATGAGAGAAATATATACAGTAATTCATCTCTCCCTCCATTAAAAATCAAACCTGACATATTAAGGAAACTATTTTTAACTTGTACTATCAAAGTTCCATTCTTTGACCACAAAAGAAATATATATGTACATCATGTTTTATCCATGGGTTCAGTTCTGGGTGAAACTTATAGTAACTTTTATATGGCTAACTTTGAAAATTATATATTTTGTAATTTTAAAAAATTCTACATCTACTAAGATATATATCTTAATAAAAAAACACTGATGAGATGCTGACATTGGTGATATGTGGTCTGAAGATTTAGTCAAAGCAGTGATTTTCAACAGCAGTGTCACAGCATACTAGTGTACCGTGAAATATTGTCATGTATGTGTGTAAGTAGTAATAGTACAACATTAGTATTTGAATAAATGAATAAGTATTAAATTTTTTTAAGTTCATTAGAAACATTGAAATAAAGTAAGTTCATATTTGTGTTTGTTTATTTTTTTTTTTTTTTTTTTTAAATCTATGGTTTTATTTCATAACATTTAAATGTAAACCCTTGATGTGACTTAATATTTTCATTTTCTCTTTGGTGTGTCATTGTTTAAAAAGGTTGAGAAACACTGGGTTAACACTGCCAGTTACTATGCATTTTGATTTCTGGTGAACATCGATGTCAACGCCTAGTGGCAACAGTCTGTTTCATGCTTGAACACAATCTTCAAGCCATATTATCTAGCATGACGCAGTGCATTAACTTTCCTTGCAACAGACCTAGCAATTGATTCAACATAAGTTTTTCTTTTTTGGGTGGGGAAGATTGCTTGTTTGATTTTGTTGGGACACTGGCGCTATTTTCCCTTATCAAACCTATTAAAATTTTGGACATCTAACTGCTAAAGTCAGCTATCTAGTCTTGTATGGCGTGACTACTGTTGTGAAATTGAACCCCATGCAGTGTTTATACATGTAATCTTATGTCGGACTAGCTTGATGTAGCTGTGGAGGCACAGTGGATATTGGCTCGGATTGAGGAATTGGAGAGCCAAGTTTGAAATCTACTTATGTGTTAATACCCTTGGAAAAGGTATGAATCATCTTCTTCTCCTCCCAGCGATATCCATTACACCACGATGGACATTTCCGCCTCACATTTTGTGGGGAGCTCAAGTGAATGCATATGGATTAAAGTAAAAAATTTCCTGGTCTTTGCAACCAATGTCATGCTGGCATCAATATCCCACTGACTCTCCCTCTTTAGTGCAATGAGGGAGCTACTGCTGCCACAGTATTAAAATACCTGGGACCAAACATCCCTCATTTATTTGATGTGTTCTGTCCAATGACAGAAGAGATAAAATGCAACTCGACTGCTCAATATTTACTTGCTACCCAACACTGGCAGGATGTTACACAAGGTCAGTTTAACGTAGAGAACCCTAGCATGTACACCCAGGCCAGGTCCAAAAATAGCCCAGCCCCTGCAACTGTCGGTTGCACTGGCATTGGTATTATTAGTGATCTCCTAACTTTAGGGCAATGAGAGAGGTACTGCTGTGGGCAGCTTTTTCCGAAGGCACCTCTCCAAAATATTTTCAGTTCCACTTTGTCTGCACAGATAAATTTGATCTGATTAAATGATCTGATTTGATCTCATTGATTAAATACAATATTGGAACCAGTAATAAAGAGTGCCAGAGAAAAGCAATGATAACAACAAAAGTTGCAATATGAACTCTGGTAAAAATGGTTGCTGAAGACATTAGGTTTATAATACCCAGAAATTCATACCCAGATGTCCTCAAGGACACATGGCACAGTGGATAAAGGCGTTGGTTAGATCCAGTGACAGGACCCAAAGAGTGTGAGTTCAATACCTGGTTAAGGCAGTGGAGAACTTGGAGAGGGGAATTAACATGAGATAACTGATAACTGACATCCATTAAACATGACATTAATTTTTCTTCTCAAGAATTCAATACACTCTTCTGTGAAGTCTAACAACCATTATTGAATTAGTAGTCTATCCAAAACCCACATGCTGTAATTTCAAATAAATCTACTTACAGAAAACAATATGACTCTTTTCTTTCTAACTGCCATTTAGGACGAGGATTATGCTGATGACATAGGTGTTCATAGTTGGTATAAGAATGTACTTGAACAGCAAATCAATATCTTCTAGCAAGTGTTCCAAGAAATAGGACTGTTGTAGATATCAATACTTTTGATGAGATTTTTATGCTCCTAGTACATTTGACCCACAACCAATTTTAGTGGACCTATGTGAGTTCAAGGGAAAAATAAAACAGAATTTAAATAAATAAATATTAACAAATATATTGGCAGGACATTTTACAAAAAGAAAAAATGAGAAATTAAATGTGAAGAGTTTAAAGCAAATTTCAATGTTTGTAGTTGGAGTACTTGCATGTCGGTAGAAGCAAAACGAATATGTCTTTTTGCTATGTAGTCTGGGTAGTATGCTGCATTCATATACCATCACCTAGGCCTGTACCTCAGAGCAATCACTCCATTTTCACCCACAAAGAATAGAATTTTGACCAAACAGGGCATTAGCATTTATCTTGCAAGATAAACAAATGCTTACAGTTTTAAGTCATATGGAGAATAAAATGAAACCTATTTTAGTTTATTTTAATTTTTTTAAATTTTATTTATTTTAATTTTTAACTCCATTTTTGATTTTGATTTTTAATTCTATCTTTCAAAATAAAACCCGTTTTTTATTTTTATTTAAAAATTAAAAAATTTCACTTTTTCAAAATAAAACCTGTTCTTTAAAATAATTATAAATGGAGCATTTGACAACTCTCTGGTTGTAATGCTGTTAAGATTAAGAAAGTATTAAGGAAGATTAAGATTCCAGATTAATATCTGTCACCTTAATTCCTCATTGAACACCTGCCCACCCATTTTTAATTATCTTTTTTCTCTTCTACTTTTTGACAGGCTTCCTAACAGAATATAACAATGGCAGTTATATGGTCAGCTTCTACCTTATTGCTGCAATATCTGTGACTTGCATGTTACCAATGCTGATTCTGTGTTTGTACAAGAGGAGGAAAGTTTCTGTCAAGAACCCCTAGCAATCCTCTATACGTGGGACAGCTGAAGAATGAACAAGAGAGCCACACCAAGAGTCTAGATCAGAAGCATTCCTTCATCACTTTTTTCCTTTCCATTTGTCATCTTCCTTTTCATCGTTTTTTAATGCCCTTCCTTTTCCAGATTGGTATCAAAACTATTTACATTATTTGCATTTGGACTAATATCATCATCATCATCTTTTTTTTTAATATCTCAATGTTTCGGCTATTGTTCACTTTGCCCTTCTTCAGTTAGCCTTCAAGAAATTTTGACCTGAACCCCATATTTAATTTATTCTATTTTATTATTATTATTATTATTATTATTCCATTGTCCTCATTTTGTGATGTCTTATCAATAGCTTAGTGGATAAAACTGTTGGTTGATGAATTTGGCAGTATTGTAAATGTGAGTTCAATCCCTGAGTCAGGTGGTGCAGCCTAAGACTTGATGGAAATACGATTAGGAATAACATCAGCCAGTTATTTATTATGCATGATACATGCTTACGTGATCATGTCTCTTTCAATAAATGACTGACGAGGCAGATTTTTTTCCAAATTAGGTTGCCATTTCTTTCTGCAGTAGACCAGTTGCCATCCACGGCTATATATCCCCATCTGTCCTGCGATTTACCCATAGCTGGTGGGAGAAGAGAAGAATTCATATCCTTTCCCAAGGATATTAGCACATAAGTGAATGTAATGGATTCAAATGGAATTCAAACTTGGCTCTCTGATTCCGTAGTCCAAGCCACTATCCATTATTTCACCATGCCTCCTCAGGAATAACATAGCACTACTAAAACGAACAAGGTGAGATATCACTAAACATGGACAGTGAATTAAATAAAGAAATCTGTTTGAAATTCCCTGAAGAAGGCCAGAAGGCATAATGGCTGAAACATTGCAATAATAACAACAAAGATGAGGACATTAGTCTTAATGTAAATATTAACATTAAAACATCTAATCATCTACAGTGTTACATATCAACATCCACAAATGTGCATTAAACACACACACACACACACATTGTTATCTGGTATGAAAATGCCAGAAGGTTATTTGGATTGACAGACACCTGAAGAAGACCGTAATCAAGAACTGAAAGGTCGTGATAACAACAAAAATGAGGACATTAGTTAAAACATAAATACTGACATTAAAACCGCTGAGATATCTTGTGATATTTGAATTTATATATCATTATTTTTTTATTTATTTTTTATAAAGATGTTCACCTTGTACAAGGCCCAAGAACCACTCATGGTAGAAGGTTACAGACTAAGAGACAGTTTATGAAAATATGTGGAGAAGATAATGGTTAATCTTAGATTGAATGGATTAAGATTGTAGTGACCAGAATGTCATCCTCTTTGGAGTTACTTCTACAAAGCAGCTGTTTGTAAGAAGCTGCTGCTCAGGTGGAACTTACATCTCACCAAGAGAATATGAAAGGAATGAGAGTGGTTTGCTGCATTATGGTGGGTCTTACCTATGAAGGTTATAACTGGTAGAACCAAGGAATGTAGTTCATCTAAACATTTTCCATGAAAATAGCAATAGAACAGCATAAGGCTTGCAATGTTTCATCTGTCAGCAAGAGGGAAATAATTCATCACCCACAAGGAGGCAGAGATGCTTTTGGACTTTATTGATTCTAAAGAGAGCTACCTGAAAGTATGGGAAATTTGACCTTGGAAATGTTTATTTTAACAACATAGTACCCGCCCCACTCCCAAGTGATATGGCAATCTAAGATTTTCTTCTCATTCCATGCTTTGTTGGAATTCTTCAAGATTAAATAAATGGTTCTGCTTAAAATTCTATATGGTCACCTGAATTGACAGACATCTTAAGAAGACTGGGCGGACAATGTCTGAAAAGTTGTGATAGCAACAAAGACAAGGACCTTAGACTGATATATAATGTGACATATGAACGTATATAAATGTGCATAATACCCAAAATGTTACCCACAATTATGAGGAATTAATCCACATTCACTGCCTGCGAGGTGTGACCCTACCAGGATCACATATAAAGTAATCACAGTGGTTTTGCAAAAGCAAAAATTGCATACAGCTTCTTTATTCCTTAAAATCTGTTCTAAAGTCATACCTCCTGCCCCTGGATACATATACCTCCTAGTAGATTTTTTTAAGATTCCATGTTTTGTTGGAAGTCCTCAAGTGTGTTGGTATCCAGTACCTCTTCTCTTTTTACCTTCACAATCTTTGAATGAGAATTTCCTCTTGAAGTTCAGGAAAAGGTTATAGGTGTGTCGTCTCACATGAAAAGAACAGATTGGGAATGACTGTCACATTTTTGAAAGCCAGGAACAGTAAAGAAAAAAAAAAAAAAATAATAATATATGGTTGATGTATAAATGATTTTGCTGACATGCTGCAGACATACTATTCCACACCTTTTTTAACCAATACTGTCTTTTAACCTTTTTAAAAAATGTAACAGAAAATTGGGTCAACTTGAAAAGAGACCCACTGATCAAGTGGTGATCTAAGCACCACGTGTTATGTCCTCTTTCAGAATTGGCTTCTTGAGAGAGGACATTCTACTTAGAGTCATAGGTGGGGCTGACAAAGTTTTGATACAAATGATACTGGGCAGGTATTGACCAATAGTCAGCATGGGTCTGGGGCTAAGAGAGCACTATAACATCAGCTTTTTCTTGGGCGGGTCAAAGTACTCTCTATATGCGGACTGTCAACAATTTGCTGCAGAATTGGGGTTCATATTTACTTTATTTAGAAAACCAGACGACTAACACAACAGTCTGGATGATTGTGCTGACAAACTGAAGACTTGTTCATTATTTACATTATTCAGACTATTGTCCTCATCTTTGTTGCCATGTTTATTACGTTTAAGTCTTTCAGTATCTGTCTATATTTCTGAGATGAGGTATTATGTACACTATTTACATTATTCGGACTATTGTCTTTATCTTTGTCACCATATTTATTACAACGTTCGGCCTTTCAGTATCTGTCTATATTTCTGAGATGAGGTATTATGTACACTATTTACATTATTCGGACTATTGTCCTTATCTTTATCGCCATATTTATTACAATGTTTCGGCCGTTGTATGTTCTGGCCTTCTTCAGGTGGTTGGAATGTCGAACTAAACCCTTTATTTTGCTCATAATACCTCATCTCGGAAATATAGACAAATACTGAAGACTTGTTATTCCACACATTTGCCAAATGCTGTCTTTTAATCTTGTTAAAAAGCTTATAGTAAAAATTGCTATTGACAGTTTGACGAGAAGAACTCCTTAGAGCAATTTATAAATCAGTGCTCTATCGCTAATTGGTGTTGTAGTTCAGGTAAACTCCAGTTTGATGTTTCTGCAAATAATATCATGATGTTCCTCGTTGTTGTTTGATAGTCTTTGAACAAATTCTTCAGAAATATCCCTCTTGCTGAAAACAAGCACCCAAATTTCTGTCTGAATTTTTAGGATGAGGAGTCCACACGTAAATAATGATGACTATTGTCCTCATCTTTGTCATCACAGTGTTTTGGCCATTGTGCTCTCTGGCCTTCATTAAGTGATCCAGATAACCTAAAGGTACAAGTATACACTGCATGGCCCCGGGATTGAACTCACAATTCCTATATCACCAAATTCATGAATCATTATGAATAACCTAGTGGATTTAATGATTGGTTCATGAATTTGGTGGTATAGGAATTGTGAGTTCAATCCCTGGATGAGGTAATGCAGACTTAAACTCAGTGGAAACAGGTGAGCCATAACTTAGCAGTACTAAATAAGAACTGGACAAAATATCCCGAAGATATGAACAGCAGAATGAGAACCATATACTCCCTGATTGACAAGCTCCTGATGAAGGCTGGAGGATACAACAGCTGAAACATTGTGATTACAACAAAGATGAGGACAATAGTTCACATGTAAATAACTCAGTCAGTTATGTGCCATGTGTGATACATGCTTAGGCGATCATGTATCTTTCAATTCATGACTGACAAGGCAGATTTTTTCTTGCGGTAAGTTACCATTTGTTTCTGCAGTAGACCAGTAGCCATCCAAGGGTACAGAACCTGGTCTGTCCTGCAATTTACTCATAGCTGGAGAGAGAAGAGGATTCATACCTTTCTCAAGGGTATTAGCACATAAGTGAATGTAATGGATTTGACTGGAATTCAAACTCAGCTCTTCCGATTCCTCAATCCAAGCTACAATACTCTACCGTGCATCCTTGTAAATAACTACCAAAATGTATTGAACAATTATGTACAATTGCAGAACTTTGAAATATCCTATGAATTAATCAGATCAACAAACTCCTGATGAATGCTGGAGGATACAACAGCTGAAACGTGATAACAACAAAGATGAGGACAATAGTTTGCATGTAAATAAGCAACAATTACCTACAATCCCAGAATCCCCACAAACATTATGGATATTTTACCTCTGATTTTCAGATGATCTCATGCAACGTAACATTTTCTAGCAGGAATTCCATTAACCATTGTCCAGAATGTTCGTCATTGTTGACAGGCATTCATCTGACCATAATACATTTATACAAGAAAAAAAAAAAATTTGCCTCATTTCATTGCATCAAATACTTCCTTAAACATTTGGTGGCTTTCTTTAGCATTTGCCGGTCATTTCAAATGATGATGACCATCAATAAAACTTTTTATTACAAAAGTATACAATGTTCATTTCTGCATGTAAATAAATCGGAGAAATAATGCTGTCACTTTTAATGTGTGAAAACATTCAAAGTTTATTTCTGAAATAAAATTCTGATTATTTATGTAATTTTATTTATTTTTTTTTTTTTTTTTTTTTTTTTTTAATTTTTAAGCATTTCACTCCAAGCAAGGTGGGAGTGCCAGTAACACACAAGGGGTTACAGATAGTGGGAGAAAGAGTAAAGAAGCGTGAGGAAAGGAATTAAGAGAAGGACAGGGAATTGGATCACGGCAT